AACATTTCCAACTCTATATAATCTATTTTCTAACTCTATAAATCTAATGTAGACCTATATTACGAAAATCATTATAAAACCGATTTAATTTAGTTTCGACATCTTAAATTTGAAAAGTGTAATAAAGAATAATTAGAAATAAATTGTTGATAATGTATAATAACGCTCAAATGTGCTCGGTAATAGATGTGTATATACATAATTATTCCATGCATAACAGAGCACAATATTGAGCCATTTTTAAATCACCTCTTATTCACACAAATTTCATATGTTTTCTGAATAATTCCAACTCAAAATATGCTCTTTTATTGTTTCAGTTAATTGATAATTCGTTAAACTAAAGGTTTCTTCTCAACTCATTTATAATTGAAATATTGAATAATACCGTAATAATTTTTGGACAAAAATAAAATTTTATTTTACACCAATTATACTTTATTCATAATAAATTGTCATCACCACATGTGTAACGCAACAACAGAAAAAAAAAAACTTTATATTTTCTTTAATAAATTGCAATCGCCAAACCAGAAATCAAATTTTTCCCCACTATAATTTCAACTAAAATAAATTCATGTGACTCTCCTCCTTTTCCCTCCCCAACCCCTCTTCATAAACTCAACTATTTTCCTCAACATTTAAAAATTCACATTTTACTTTTCTCAACAATAAAAATAGAAATTTTTAAATTATTTTCATTTCCAACACTTTATTTTTCAAAAAATTTGTTAAAAAACAAAAGAAAGTAAGTAGCAAAAATGTGAACTTTAATTTTAAATTTTCTTTAACTTGTAAAAAGTTTTATGGTCCCGTTATATTCTTTGACATTTTAACAAAAGAAGTAACTGTTGCTAACTGGAATATTTCACGACGTATACCGCAAAACGAAAAACTGAATAATAAATTTTTATTTTATTTTTTTTTTGCTTTTTTCCGAAAAAACAAACGAATAAGTGAAAAATTTCCTGTCAACAAAACATTGTGAGTGACATATACGCCAAATGCAATATTAAAAAGAGTTAAAATAAAAATAAAGGAAGGGAAAAAATAATTCTAAAATGAAAAAATTGTTGCATTCCTGGAACAAAAATAACGAGAGAAATAAACTATGAGAAATTTAATTTATTAAAAATTCATTTCCGAAAATTTGTTTGTAACGACAACCTCCCGCACTACACACATAATTTTGCGTATACCTTACGCCGATATGTAAATGATTTACAAATTTAAGAGTTCACATACAAAAGTACCTAAATTTTCTTCGAAAATATTAAAAAGTGCGAAGAAATAGTGCCAAAATCGAAAAACAAATTTGAAAAGTGTTAAAATTGTGGAAAAATTTTCAAAATTCAAATTCAAACTAAAATTGGTAATTTTTAACTAAAATAGCTTAAATGGCCATGCTGATCACTTGCCTTTATTCTTAAGTGAATTAGCATAAATTTCTTAAATGGTTCTGTTTTCTAATTTATACACATGATTTTTATTATACATGAAATTAGTGATTAGACATTAGTCATAATGATTAAGGCTTCAAAATTTTTTAACATTAACACAATTAAATGTCATTGGAATCAAGAGAAAATTCACAGGAATTCCAAATTTCCAATGCAAGAACAAAATTTTTAAGAAAAACAATGTAGGGAAATAATAGAAAAACTTCTCATGTCCTTTTTCGAATATTTTAACTTAACTTTGATATTTTCCGACTTCTAACATTCTTTAATCAAAAAATCAACATTATCTTTCGAAATAAATTTTAGAAATTTTGCGTGGTAATAATAAAAGTCAACTAATATTTATAAAAGGAAAAAACTCCCTCATATTTCTACTTGGGTATTTTTCATTATTTAACTATAACTGCTTGTACTAAAAAAATTGGAATTGAAATTATCGTGACATTTTAAAAAACAAACTTTAACAATTTATTGTTAAAGTAAAAAATTATTACGAAAAATTTCTTTAAATATTCTGAAAAAAAAAAATAAAGAAAAATTAAGGAAATTGGAAAATTACTGAAAAAGAACAAAAAAAAAAAAACAAGAAGTTTTCTTCGTAATTACTTTTATACTCAAATTTTAAATAAAGGACATGACAATTATTTATTTATTTGTAAGACCACCATCATAAAAGTTTAAATTTATTGAAAATTTACCGACAATTTTGTAAATTTCAAATTGAATAAATTAAGAATAATATTTTAAATAATTGTCAAGAAATTTATTTTGATATGAGAAAAGTTTTCATGTATTGATTCTGTGGTTCTGAGGAAAAAATTGAACTAATAATAGTATGTACTAATAATTTAAGTAAATTAATCAAATTTTGGCAGAATTCAATATTCTTAGATTCTAGAATAGAATATTCTTAAATTTGAAGAGAATTCAAATTTGGAATAATAAAATTTCAAACTTGATTTAGGCGATTATTACTTATTACCACAGAATTATTTTAATGTATGCAATTTATATCCTGTACAATTTGAGATTTACGAGTAAATCCATTAAATTTATTATTAGAACTCTTTTTAAATTTGTTCTATAATTTTTTTCCAATACTTTTCTTTTCAAATTTTTCTTTTTTCAAATTTTCATTATATGCTTATGGTGACACAATTCAATAAATCGAAAATACTGGTTGGTAAGTCACTTTTTACATAATCCAGTTTGGCACAATACAATACTTCACCATAACATTATAATAGAATAAAAAAAAATCTGATGTGGTCAGCACATAACCGACCGCATTGTGTATTGTCTAGTTAAATGAAAGTGTTACAGAATATTATAAAAATGTCTGTTAAATACTTCTTTCCAATTTTTAGGACATTAGTAAGCTTATAGTTAACATACTTAGATAATTTATAAATGTAAATTTGGATCTTAGTAGAGTTTCGCCTTGTGCTTCCCGAATTCCCTGAAATGCTCGCCAGTTAGTTTCGGTAACAACCAGAACTCAAATATCAAATTTCAAGAAATTCCATCAATTTGTTCTGTGGATATGGTGAAAAATGTAAAATCGGCCCGCAAATCAGTTTTCGAGCCCTGATCTTTCCAAAAAATTTATATGTTCATTGTTTTAATACGAGGAGTTCATATATTAAATTTCAACGAAATCGGTTGATTATTTCTCTTTATATACACAAAAATGTATATTTGGCCCGTAGTAAACGTGTAGTTGCCGATGCCTGATTTATTCCAAAACATACGAATTTTTGCGGACAGCCGAGCTGAGCTTATATATAAAATTTCAAGTAAATCGGTTGAATATTTTCTTCAAAATGTTCAAAAATGTAAAACAGGCCCGCTAAAAAGTGCAGTTCCCGAGGCCTGATATATACCAAAAGTTGATCGATCCGTGCCATGGTGGAAACAAACTTACATATAAAATTTCATCAAAATCGGTTCAGCCGAACTTGAGATACACGCGTGCACACACAGACCGACAGACCGACAGACCGACAGACCGACAGGTTGCTAAAAATAGTTTATTTACACTTCCCTACTATGGAAAAGTACGTTCCAACCGAAAACTCGATATGCAAAATTTGTTGCCATCACATAACCTACCTATTGTTTACACAATACGGTCGATAAAAACAAAAATTTTGTGTAAAATTTCAAAAATAATTGACATTTTCAAAATCTAATTAGCTAGTACATTCTCAAAATCAAATCAACTTGAATATTCATTGAAATTTATTTTTTTTTTTTTACCAAAAATTGGATATGGTTAAATAAATCTTGTTTAAAAACCATCATATACATATACATCAAAATCAGTCACTTTGACAAAAATAAATTTAAATCTGAAAAAAAAAACTTTTCAAAAGGTATAGAAGAACTATCAATGTTAAGTACTCTAAAATGAATTGCACCTATGCAAGTACATGTGTGTATTTACTTACGTAAATCCAACATGTACAAAATGCATGAATCAGTTGAATCTCTCATTTCTAATTTTATAATTATTACCTTTAACCACATCCATCCTATTCTATATAACTATATTTTGTAAAACATACATATACACTATAATAATTAAACAGATGTTTCTTTACCCTTACTAGTTTTTGGTATTATAGGATAATCTTTTTCAACAGGTGTCGGAGCACGACTACTATTTTTACTATTATTTTGTGTGCTATTACAACTACTACTACTGAAACTTAAATTAAATTCTTCGATATCAGGTGGAAATTTAAAAATTTCACCCTCACCACTACTATTACGGTATCCTGTTGATATTTCATTTTCTGTTTTAACATTTTGGAAATTTTGATTATTTTGAAAATGAATTTTCTCCGAAATTTTAGATGATTGTGTTATAATATGTAAATTACTATTTCTATGAGCTGGTATTTCCTCATAAATATTTGTGGATGAATCAATGGTCGATTGTTTTACAGTTGATGTCAATATATTACTACTACTACTACTACTATTATTATTTAAATTATTTGAATTGTCATTATATTCTAATGATGACTGAATATTATATGCTTTCGATGTAACTGTATTAGATGTAATTGAATTTACTCTTGATACAGGTGGTGCTGGTGGTTTTTCTTGTGGACGTTTTAATTTTGTTAGAGAAGCTTGTCTATTTAAATTAGGTTTATGTGAACGTGGCGGTGCTTTTTTACGTAATGATGGAAATGAAGCTCTATTCGGTATTGTACTTATTGGTGGAGGTAATGGAGGTGGATTTTTAGGTCGTGTTAATGAATTTACAGAAATTTGCTTTTTTAAATTCCTGTTAGTTAAATGAGAAGATGTGGTTTCAAAATTAGATATGGAAGAGGAAATGATTGAAGTTTTTTCTATAGTTTTTAGGTGCTTTTCATCTTTAACTAACAATTTATTCTCTACTTGATCATCAGTTAATTGCTGTTGCAGTTTTTCTTGATTTTCATATTTATCTGATTCTGATTCTATAATTTGTGCTACAACAGTAGTAGAATTTGGTGCTAATTCAATTTGATTATTTTCACTCACCATAATACTACTACCAATACTTTCATTTCCTGTTGATGGAGATGTAGATGGCTGTATTATCGATTGTGATTGTATATTTTGGTTTAAAGTGACGACATTACTTGACGGTATATTGATAGAAGGAATTTTTGAAGAATTTATAGTACAACTACCACTTTGCATGCTGTTAATTGGTAGTTGTTCGATTAGATTATTATTAAAATTATGAATTAATAATGAACTTGGAGCACTTGAATAACCGTTAATTACTTGATGTTGAACCTGCTGCTGATGTAAATAATTACTTTGCGAATCCAAAGGATAATTAATTGTAGCTGTTGTTGGTGTTATATGAATAACACCAACACTAGTAGTTCCTACACTAGAAGTTAACTGTTGTGGAATAGGTAATGTGGTATATTGTACGGGTAAAATTTGTGCAGTTGGAAATATTTGTTGTGGTGACAAAATACGATAGCCATGTTGCTGATGATAAGCATTCAAAAATGTAGCTGAATTATCATTAACAGATGAATCCAGTTGCTGTTGTAATTGTTGTTGAAATTGTGAATGCGAAAAATTATTAAAGTCAATGTTAGTGTTATTTGTTATATCACTTGAAATGGATAAAGTTTCTAAATCATTATTAGTAGATTTTAATTGAGAAAAATTAATTTTATTATCAAAGATATTAGAAATTTTATCTTCCGTTAAATCAGAATTTTCATCAGAATCAATATTATAATCAAGAAAAGGATTTACCGATTTTACTTTGCCTTTAGATGATTTGAAAGGTTGAGAAATAGATTCACTGAAGGCCGATGAAACATCATCATCAGTATCAATTTTATTAAGTTCTTGCTCTTGCTTAAGTACAGCATTACGAAGTTCATTTTCATGCAATAGAACAGTACGATGAACCTCTTCAGAAACTAAAATGTTGTCAGGTGAATTCTCATGAACTAATTCGGGATGTTTATGAGTTGGAATGTAATCATATTTAATTGATGAAATTTCAATTATTTTACTTTCATCGAATTCAATAGGACAATTAGCAACATCACCGAGAGATGGTAAGGTTGCATAATTAATTGGAGGAGGAGGAGGACTATCTTTAGGGCTTGGTGACAATACAGAAGGAGTTGGAATTTGTGTTATTGAAGGATGTTCAATTGGTAGTTCAGGTTTTGGTAAAGGCTTTGGTATATTTGTGGATTTTGTACTTTTTGATTTTGTGTTTGAATCATTCAATTTATCATACGATGAGGATGACGATGATAACAATGAAGGAACTGGGGGTAAAGGAATGTCTTGACAGAAACTATTACGATTATTATTTCTTTCCCCAGAAATTGATGATTCATTTTCTTCTTTTACTTCTTTTTGTACTTTACTTCTAAGAGGAAAACTTGTTTTTGTTGTGGAATCAGTATTTTTTGACACATTCTTAGTTTCCTTATTATTTTGCAATTGTAATTGTTGTGCTAACAGATTTTGAGAGCCTGGAGTTGATTTTCTTTTGATTTCGCGAATTGTATTTGTTGCAATATCGTGTTCGTATTCAACAAAATCACCATGATCAAAATCGGTTTGTAAAGTTTTTAATGCAATATTTTGTACCTTTTCAGCTTGTTTTAATTGTTTTGGTTTTGGTGGAGGTGGTGGTGGAACAGGTTTAATAGGAGGTTTTTGATCAATTTTACTTAAACTGCTACCTCCTTCTGTGATCGATTTATAACCACTTGACAGTGAACTTTCATTTTTAATAAAATTTTCGGTAGCCTGCCTGACACCACCTTTTTGTTGTTCTTTATTTATAGGACTTTTTGTCAATACTCTTTGATTTTCAACTTCTGAACTAGTTGGTAATGATGATTTTTTTATATCAAGCGGTTGTAATGACGTTTTCTTTGATGGATCGCTTAATCTTTTTACAACATCAGATTTTGAATAAATTTTTGCCATTTCTTCATAAATATCTTTGGTAGGCTTTTGAAATGCTTCTCGAAATGGATTATCACGTTCAATTTCATCTGTAACTTTTTCGGATTTCCAATTTGTTTGATTTGAATCATCATCATCAGTTGTTGAAGCTAAATTTGGAATGTCATATGAAAATCTTGTACTTTGTAATGGACTTTGAGCACGTTGTGGTGTCGGTATTTCTTTTATTTTAGCAACTACAACTGGAATATTTGGTGATCTAGGTGATCTTAAAGGTTGTCTTTCTAATGTTGAATTAACTGATGATGATGAAGGACTGGCAGAACGTAATATACCTTTTAATTCACCTCGATGACGATTTGAACTGCGGTATGAATCATACTCTTGTTCAGAATCATATTGCCTTGTTTTATACGAATAAGAATCAACTGGTGATCGAAAACTTTCAACATCAGATTTTGTTCCACCACGTTCATCGCCGCTTAAATCAAAACTAACTGATTTACGGTGGGCAGTTGAAGATGGTTCTGGTGAATTACCATCAGAAATTGATTTATTCGGATGACGTAACAAACTTGTTTCATTTTCAGAATCACTAATATATTTTGGAACATTACGAAATTCAACAACATTTTCACTTTCTGATTCACTTGTATATTTTGTAATTATTTGATGTTCTTTTGGTAGTCTTATATTTTCAACATTGTATCGATTATCAGTATTTGTTTCGATATCGATATACCTAAGATCTAAATTATCTTTCAATTCTAATGAAGCTCGTTTTGGTGGGATAGGTTTTTCAATATTACAAATTTCTGTTGATATAAACGATTTTTTATTATCATGAATGGATTTGTTAGTTGGTTTTGATTTTTCAATTGGTGAAAGTGGAGTTCCAATTTTATTAAGTTTTGTTTTATCATCGGTATGATATGATAAAATGTTTAAATTATTTTCATTTTCATCGGTACCAATAATGTGAGCACTAAATGGACGAGAAGAATCTTTTCGTAATGAATCTTGAACTGATTGTGGCAATGGGCCAAATGTTTTTTCAGTTCCAGAAGTTAATTGTTGCTGCAAGAAGTATCCAGAAGTAGAAGCATATTGTAATAAATATAAAAGAAAAAAGAAGAAAAATACAAATATTTTGAAACAAAAAAAAAAAAAAAAACATGTAAATTTTGTTATTTTGTGTTTTGAAAGTTTTTTGATGAAAAAGGACAAAAACATTTTTTTTTTTCACTGTTATTTCGTATGTTTTATTCGAATTATTACAATGGTGATAAATTGTAGCACACATAAAATGAATAAATTTTATCGTAATTTTTTGTTTTGATTTTTTTTCTTTTTTTTTTTTTACAAAAATAAAAGTGGTGAGAAGAATGATGAATTTTAATTTTATTAATCTTAAATATAATTGTATTAAAAATTAAAAAAATGTTTATTATAGTGCAAATATTTGAAACAGAAAAGAATGATTTTTATTATGAAAAATAATTAATAATTATTTAATTGTTTACTATAAAAATAATATAACATAAATAAATGTATAAGAAATAAAAAATTATAAATGTAAAACAATCACTCATTTTTTTTTTTGTTTTATAAAAATTAAATTCGAAAATGAATTTAGAAATGAATTACAGTGGAACTCGTTTATAACGGCGATATTTTATATTGACTAATAATTCGTTCAAAATATCATTAACTAGTACCATTTTGGAATTTCATTTTCCCCTTTAATCTATTTCTCTTTGTCTGTTTTTAAATTTTCGAAATAACAATTTAGGAAACACAACGGACTAATAAAATATGTGAAAAATTTCAAATTTTTCTCACAGAATTAAAAATGTGAGAATTAATGTGAGAATTTGAATGATTTTCACAAAAACTCTTCCACGTTTCTGTACTTAGTTATCCTCTTTCTATTTTTTTAGGACAACTTTATTAAATCTGAAATTGAAGTATTTCGTATACTGAACTGTGTTTTTATAAAACGAAATAACTGCCCTCTCTTAAAATTTATGCAAAAAGCATACTACGGGAAGACGTTAAAACTTGTTTTTTATATGTTTGTCGAAAATAAATTTCTAACATCAAAATATCGCTAAATCGCTAAATTGCATTTATTGTTAAGATGTTTATCAAAATCGGATTTTGTGTTTTCGTTTGTAGTGACTGCGCTGAGCGCAATACTAAGTTTTAAAGCCTGATCGTGTATCTCGCTTTTTTATTAATTTTCCATTCACTTTCCAATCAGACACTTTCTCAGCATTTTCTAATGGATGTTTCATTTTTTCAATTGGATTTTTATATTTTTCTCTCAAATTTTCGACTGAACGTCTGACTTTCAAAAAACAAAGTGAATAAATTTTGTATGCATTTTAGAAAAAAACAAGATACACAATATAAAATATTTTTTCTCACTCGAAAATTACATTATACAAGTATATGATAGTTATTCACTTTCTTCTCATTTTTCGAGTAAAATAGCGAGATAGACTCCAAATAACAAAGTAGATATCAGGCACAAAATAAAAAAGTGATATTAATTTCTGCTGTTTTTCTTTATTAAACCTATACGAATAATTTAAATTGTAACAAAAATTGTGTATTACCGTGAGTTTAAAATTGTACCGGTATAAGCTAGTTCTACTGTATATGATTTTTTTTTCCTTATATTTAATATAAACATATACCTATTTTAATTTAATTTCAAATTTTCTTGAAAAACAAATTTTTTTTTCTCTATAATTATAAATGAATCCGATCACCGTGTAAATTATAGCATAATATAAAAATATACACATAAGATATTTTGATGAATAATTTTTGTTTATCATGACCATTAAAATTATATGTTCTTTGGTTGGCAGGAAGCACTGATTTTTTTTTCTATATTTTTTTTCCTGTAGTAAATATCAATGATATTTTCTATGTTCTATTTAATTGCTATCATTAATTGATGTGATTTGTAGGACACTTAGACCAATTTATTATAATTTTGCTATTTTTAAAATATAATTTTTATTTTTTATTCCATAAAATAGATTTTATTGCAAAAAAAAATTAATTTTTTTATACAAAAACAAAAACAACAAAAAAAAAAACCAATTATAGTGTTGAGTATACAAAAAACAAAGCAAAAAATGAAAAGAAAGGAAAAATTTACAATGAATTTTTCTTTTTGGTTTCATTTTATTTAATAGCAAAGCATAGCTTCTCTACTATAGCAAATCAATTATAAAAAACAAAAAAAAATTTTAATAAAAATAATTAAAAAAAAAAATTCAGAAAAACAAAATTCAAAAATTTCATAATTAAAACCAAAATATCGGGCGAAATTTAAGCTATGAAAAACTCATTATGAGATTTTTCAGGAAACACAAAAAATGAGAATGTCTTTTTTTTTTTCAAATGAGCGAGACTTTGTTCAAAATGAGATTTTAAAAACAAAACAGTTAATAACACAAAATCAATATGTAAAAAAAAAAACAAAAACAAAACAATTTTTTCTCTCAAACAAACTTCATTAAAACATTCGAAAGATCTGGAGTTTGAAAGGTCAAGAGTCGTCTGCAAAATCATTTTCTATTTCTTTAATTATCAACTAACATAATTTTATTTATAATATTTTTATAATTTAAATCAATTATATCTTTATATTCAAAAATATTTTCCATAGAAATGTTTGCAAAACAGAATTTTAAAAGCTGTAATAAGCCTTGCTTCTAGATGCACAATTACAATTTTTTATAACATTATTAATTCATTATAAATTTTAATATTAAATGTGAAAATTACTTAACTATTTCATTATTATTATTGATATTGAATTAATTTTAATATTGAAAATAAATTAAACTATTATGACATTGAATAGATTCCTATTTCGAGGTCTATTCTCGTAGGCAAGAAATGTTTATTTGTGCACAAAACTGAAAACAAAAAAATTTTTTCGCTCAAAATTAGCCTAATTTTATTTTAAATAAAATTCTCTCGTAATTAAATTCAGTTAATAAAAAAAATAGAAATTCACTGAATTCCTACATATATGATTAGAACAAAGAGCAAAAATCAAACAGGATTGAGGTTATAGAGCATTTTTCATTTAAACTAATGCTATTTTTTGCCTAAAACTTTTATTATAAATGAACAGATTCCAGGCAATAAAATGTGCTTAATTTGTATTAAATAATTAAAACTAATTTGTATTTAATTTATAATTTTACACAAAATCCTTCATTTTCCTATTAAAAATCGAAATGTGATTAAAATTTCAATAAATCACTGCAGCTTCTCTAATTGACGTAAATATTTTTCAATTATGTATTCATAATAAATTAGAAATTTCAGTGTAATTACATTTTTTTTTAGTGACATAATAGTAAATAAATTGGCTTTTCAAGAAATTGGAATAATTTCGTAGAAGACTAGCGAATTACAAAAATTTGAAATTTCATATAATCAATTTATGTAACTTGTGTATTAACTTAATATGCTTGTTTATTTACAGATATTAGAAATTTAATTAGAAACGCCTTTAAAAAAATAATGAAATATCAAATTCATGTGAAAATAAAAAAATAAATTTTAATAAATAAAAAAAATATAAAATCTAAAAATTTATTATTTAATAATCCTATTAAGAAATAATACAAATCCTCTAGAATTTTAAATATATATACAATATCCAATTCAATGAAATCAGACAATAGAACCAAGATACAATGGGAATGCCTTTGCCTTTTGCGTTATGACAAAACAAATTGAATAGAAATGTGGTACCCAATTAAAAATTTTTCTCCAGTACTTGTATTTTTCCCCGTACTTATAATCGACTTTTAAATTTAGTCAACATATTGGTTCTGAAATTACTCGACGAAGCAATTTTTTTTTTTCGATATGTTGAACAAAATAGCCTTAAAATTATCATTATTATCGGTAATGCCAATCGGTACACTAACAAAACTGTATACCCTTAAATTAGAACAACTTAATCAATTAAATTAGAGAACCCTTTGAAATAATTAAAAAATTTCCTAATATTTTTTATTTTAATTTAATTTTATTTTTTAATATTAACTTTAATGATTTTAATATTTACAGCAAAAAAAAAAAAAATTACAAATATTACATTTAGTTTTCTTTTATTTTTTTTTTATTTTTTTTTTTTTATAATTATCTATATAATTTAATTTTCTCTTTTTCTCTTTCAATTATTTGTGATAATTTTAAAAATCTATTTTTAACAAAATTTTTATAGAATTTATAAAAAATTTAATTGATTTTTTTTTTTTTTTTAGTTTAAATTTTTTTTTTTAATTATTTTTTGTATTTATAATTTTATACTTTCCTTTTTTATCTATATTAATCAAAATATTTTAAATTAAATTAATTTTTCATTAAATCTTCGCAAGAATTTAATTTGTATAAAAGAAGAAAATTACACGTACAATATTACAAATTTTAACAATGTTATTTTTAAATGAGAATTCCCACAAAATTTTAAATTTTATGGAAATCCAAAAGAATTTATCGAAATTCAATAATTGAGAATATAAAACAAAAATGTAAATTGTGGTTGAAAAGAAAAAAAACTGAGCTCAATTAAATCTTTAAAGTGCAAGAAAAAATAATTTTCTTTTTCTTGAAATTTTAATATGCGCCTGATTTTATGCAATTTTTATTTTTATTTTTTAATTATGCAGAAAATTTTCAGTGCGGAGAATTTTTTTTATACCATTAACAATACAAATTTTTATGTTAGCAATAAAATTTGAATTTTTGCAAGTGTTGTACGTTGAAAACATTTTATACGAAAGCCTCACAATATCAGTCGAACAAGCATAATATCATATAGAAAAATGTTCAAGAATTAGCGATTTTATGAAGGGAATTATAAAATCAAGTGATGCTTGAATAAATTCACATAATAGGAAATAAAGCAAGCTTAAAATAAAAGAAAATAATTTAAAAATATTCGGGCATTTTATTTAATTCATAATATATAAGGTTCCTGAAACATACAAGAATTGAAAATATAAGCCAATATAAATCGTAATTGATAGCTA